AGTGAGGTACTCAGTGTGTTCATGCTCAATACTGCGCCCACTGTGTGCACCCAGTGTAGCACCCAGTGCATGTGCGCACCCAGCGCTGCACCCACTGCTGCACCCCCTGTGTACACAGGCAGGCAGGGTGTGCTGCCTGCACACCCAGCGCTACACCCGCTGTGTGCGCACCCAGGCCGCTGTGCAGCCTGCGCACACCCTGCTGCAGCCTGCCTGCCCCACGCACACRAACCAAGGGCTGGCCCTGGTTCTTGTGCATCTTGGGCAGCCCCTGCCCCTCTCTGCAGTCATGTGCAGCCAGGTCATTGCCCCTGTGCACCCACCCCTGCCACAGGCACACGTGGGGCCTGGCACCCTCCGCATGGAGCAGCGCCTGCATCTGCTCAGACACCACCTCCACACAGCCCTACAGCGCCCGCCCATCCACACCAACACCCCTGTACATACTCATCACCCACGAGTGCTGCTCTGTTCCCAGCTCCATGGGCACCCTGCTCCCCCCCAGCCTGGGCACCACCACAGACCCCTCTCAGTGCCCTCCATGCAGCCCTCCCAGCCCCATGCCCTGGTCCCAGCCTCTTCCAGCACCTCCTGCTCCATCCCGCTCTCTGTCCCGCTCTCCTCGGCCACCTCCCACCCAGCTGGGAATACGCCCTGGAGCCAGCATCTCCACCCCCCTTTCCCACCTCCTCCCAGGGCTGCCTCTCCCACCTTGCCCCACCATCCCAGCTCTGTGCTTCTCCCCACCCTCCTCTTACAGGCAATCACCATATCCCTGGCTGCCTTCCCGGAGTGGAAAACACAGAAACCACAACCCTGTTAGCTTCCTAGGGCTGCTGGTGACAGCAAGCTGGAAGGAAGGGGGGTTGCAGGGACTGCGTGTGTCACAGCACCAGGACAGAGACGAGGAGCCTGCAGGAACACCCTGCGTTGATGCTCTTTTCAGTGTAGTGCTCAGAGCTGCTTCGAGCATGTGGTGTGTGAGGCAGAGCCTCGAGTGACACAGGACCCAGGAGTTTCTGGGTGCGGGTTTATTGAACCTGCAGCAATACATTCAGAAAGCCTCCAGAGCCCTAGTGCCGGCAGCAGCAGCCGCCGCAGCGTTTTCAATTGGAGTTTCCACTGGTATCATCAAACYGAAGGTGGAAAGTGTTGCACCAGCACAAGGCTGCTGACTCCAGATGGACCCAAAGGCAAAACAAGGACAAAACTGTATTATCCTAAACCAACCTGAAGCTGGGACCATGAGGAAAACCGTTGTGTGATTGCTTATAGGAGAACCCGTGCTGCGGTGCCCTAAAAGAAATCACTTGGTACAAGGAAGTTTCGTTCAGGGTGACGCGGCCGATAATGGCTGTGTAACTACCCTGCATCATACCCTGCATCAGAGCTACTTCACGCTGCTYTCTTAAAGCACATTCAAGAAGTAATGTGGTCTCCTCACACAATCCCCTTCTACTCATTAAGAATTTTTTATTCTGCCATCTTTTCTTCTACATCCTTCTGTTACAAATCCAGGTCTTTCCCTTTCTTCTTCCCTCCCCTTCCTTAGGTTGCAGTTATGTTGTCTGAAGTAACTGCACTTTTCATTCATTGTCTGAAGTAACTGCACTTTTCCCAATTACTGCTCCCAGCCAAGTACTAAACCACTCAAATCTCCCTGTGGGCTTCATGTGGAGTTAACGTGCAGAGCTACAGACCCTTTGGACCTCACCCTGTGGATTTTCACCACAGGAAAAGGTGAAGTCCCTCAGATGCTCCAACTAGCACAACTTCAGGGAACAACTCTGGACTCACTGTGCATTTAGATCAGTAAAATCAACTACAYTAGGTAATTTTAGAAGAATCCTACTGGCATTTGCATTGAAGTCCCAAGCAAGTGCAATGCTTCCACTCATCAAATAGAYAAGCAGGAATACAGTCTTTTTAAATAAAGATTTTCTAAGCCTATGGCAACAAAACTGGATCAGTTGCACTCCCTGTAGCTGGGCAGAATAAGTAAAACTGATGCAACTRAATTCCCAAGGGCAGGAGCAGTACCACAGAGCTCCCTCTCAARCTGCACATCTGTGGGTCTTGGGCCATGTCCTTTGCTACATACTCAGAATGATGCTATTTTGGGCAGGGTCTCATCAAAGAAATGCCCTGGCCCAGTCCTATAGTATCATTCTGTACCTTGCAGGATAAAATCTTCTCCAGGGCACCATGCTATAAATCCTAAAGCAGGATCCAAATCCTGATAGTTCCCATCACCATCACCCCCTTGTAGAATACTTCAAAGATAAACACATTTCAGTCTCATTGGAAATAGTGATGTTTCTTCCTTCCATCTCAATCACAGGGCCATGGGCCAGGTCTCCGTTTACTCCCAAGACTCAGGACAAAAGCCAATAATAACTAACTGCTACCCTTTGAGAAACGATACTTCTGTACCATCTATGTGAGGGAACTGCTGAAGGAGCTTAGAGATCACACCATACAGAACGTTTTCCTCCGGCAAGCGATCTCCTTACAGCCAAAGCAACAGTGCTGTGGCTGAGGCTTAATGAAATGGTTGATCTAATCCATGCTGCTCACAGGGGACCATTTGCTTGCTCCATCTCCAGCACTTGTTTGACATCATCTTGAGTCATTTCGGCTTGCTGAACCAGGAGAAAAAYGTTCCCTTTTTTGGGGAGAGTGCAACTGGGAAGCAGCAATTTGGCGCACTGAATCCCAAGCAGTGTCACATCACGGCTACGCCAGTGTTAGAGCTAGCACCTACTGGACAGAGCAGCCCCACTTCTCCCCTCCAGATGTGCTTTTCCTGTCCCCTTCTTTGTGCAGCATTCCTGTTTTTGGAGGGTGACTGTTCTGCYAGTCAGCTTTCTGAACTGGGTCAGTCCAGGACCAGGCAAGAGCCAGTGCTGGCATCAGGGAAGCGGAGGGAACTCCCAGCCTGGAAGGAGAAGGAGGACAAGATCAGGATAGCTCCTTTTTGCCTGGATATCCATTAGCTCAGGTTAGCTGCAAAATGAAAGCCACCCTCTAATCACAGCAGCACTTGAGCAATAGGCATTTTATCTCCTTTCTTTTTCCTGGGAAATATTGAAGTTCATGAACTCAGTTCTGCAGGGCCCAAGACAGTCTCGTCCTTGGCACAGCTGCTAATAACAACAGAACTTTTTAACTCAAAAACCTCACGTTCTCTCCCTCTGCTTAGAGTACTCAGTCTTAGGAAGGAAGCAAGGACTCCATCTCTTTGGCTATCACCCCTGCTCCCTCAGGCCTTTCCCATCTCATCTCTCATCTTTTTGTCCCCGAGTTCTTATTCAAACAGAAGTTCCCTACTGGGTGTTCTTTGGAGACAAACTATTACTTGTCCCTTTCCTAACTGCAATATACAGTCACTCTGCTCCTTGAATTGAGCAACATTGACAAGAACAGTGCCTGGCCCCTGACACATACAATAAACTTGGTGCCGGGTCCACAAGCACAAGGTAAGATTTATGCTGGTTAGTTCTTCCYTGGGACAAGGTGAGCAAAAGATGACTACAAGCAAGTGATGCTTTTATGAGCTGCTATTTTCAAGTCACAGCCCAAGCTCTTTTAACGTCTTGATGTGCCTGAGGTACTAGTATAAAAGCCTAGGTATAAAAGGTTCTCATCAGGCTCTCCCATATTACACTTGTTACTGTGAGTTTTCAAATATGTCATATACAGACAGTGATTGGTCTAGGTAAAAGTGGAAAAAYCTGGGCCTCAGGAGGACCTTCTTCACTCCCTCTGACCACCCTCTTGCTGCTTGGCTTGAGTACTTGCACTATGAACTCCACGTTCTACCCAACWCTTAAGCACATACATATTGCAAACCACCCTAATTTTAGAGAACACAGAAATAACCCGCAATATTCTATAAACAATATATCTACTCTGAAGGAAAAAAAAAAAAAAAAAATCAACTCCAAGTACACAGAAAAGGAAAAAACCCAGCCTGCAAAACCTGCCCCCTCCAGGTTCAAAAAGGTGAGAAGTCATTTGTGTGTCCAAAATAAACAAGCCAATAGAATTTACAAAACCCAAAATAGTTTTATTTACCTTTCMGATTTTTGCCTCGACGAGACATTTTGCAAACATGCTAAGGCTACAAAATGTCCAAGTTGACAAAGACATGCAACGCTGACCATTCAATAAGTCACGGCTATTATAGTAGCGACCGTGCCCGCCTGGGCCACAGGTCCCACGGGACAGGGATGGTGAACAGTGATTCATGGCAACAGACTACACAGGACCCAGTAACCTGAGGTAGGTCTCTTTACAGTAAGAAAACAACATCCTACACTAGTGTTACATCCTGATCAGCAGGAACCCGTTCAAAGTTCCTGAAGATATGGGATGGGGACTGTTTCCTTAACAACTGTGCAATAAAGAAACAGGAAATATTGATGCAAGTTAACCTTAGTATAAGTGAGCAGAAAAATGGGTTAGTGTCACCCATGCCAATAAAAGCCAACCTAAACCTCTGAGGAGCATTAGCGGATTTAGGATAAGGAGGCAGTCAGCTGCAGCAACTCTGGAAAGGCTTTCCTGCTAGCATACAGGACAGGATTTGAACCTTATAATTAATTTGTTATAGATCATTCCATGAGCATTTAGATTCTGGTCGCATGTCAGATCAGCAAAGCAGGAAGCACTTGCTCTGGTATTAAAGGGCGTTAAAGATATTAAAAGAAACCCTGGTGATACAGTAAGAAATCCTGTATCAGGACACTGAGAAAATGAGGCTTTAACGTGACCCAAAAGTGGTTCTCTCCCCAAGCCACTGAAGAGATCACCAAAACTCTGCTTTGGGAAAGCATCTTGGGAGACAGCAGCTGCTGCCATGGTGAACATTAGCAATGCTCCAGATAGCTTTGATAAATTACAATGCAATAGAGTTACACCACAGAGCTCTTCTCCTTTGCGCTAGACAACAGTGATGGGACAATAAAAGACACTATTGCAAAGCTTCACTTCCACTCAGACACGCAGAAAGTCTGGCACTAGGAAAAGACCAACTGTAAGAGACAAAATAGTGTCTCATACAGTCTGATAACAAAGCCAGATCTCCGGTACCGTAAACTGTACAAAAATGATAGAAAAGAATATGCACTGTTATTAATACAGTGCTTATTTTAATATAAAATAAACAGCTTACATTTCCACTGTAAATATAGGCTATATACAGAATTATGTATAGATATAGCTACATGTATAAAGCTTCATTATAGGCCTCTGATACATTTATAACTATGGCTCCCTGAGCCATTTGTAGAGTGCATTTAATAACAAAAAATTAGTAATATGATTATGGAATAAATACAGTAAACAAAACCATGAAGAACTCTTCTAACAGGGTTTTAAAAACTCTCTGGCTTTGACACACTGTGCTAAAAATTAAAACATGAAAAGGCAAATAATCAGCTTGGAGGAGAAAGAGTAAGAAGAGCYGGCCTGCCACAGGCAGGGAGTGGAGCCCTCCAAAATAAAAGTGACTTTGCCCTGAATTTTAGCCCTTGACAGCAACCTTGTTCTCTGCGGCAGCAAACATAGCGTAGAAGCGCGAGTTCTCGTTGGCCAGCAGGGCGGATGGCGTGTCGAATTCCACGACCTGAAAGCAAACAAGGCAGGTAAAGTTCATGAGTAAAAGGCAGCAGAAAATAAATTCCCATCCGTGGCCTTGTGACACTGCAGGAGAGAAGCCAAAAATATAGTGGACAGTACCCTAAGCATGTTTAGAGTCCAGCTTTAAACTGTAATAGACTTTTGTCCTGGAGAGCTATGTTGTTTTGGGGGAAATAAGCAATCTACTTTGGTTGGTTTCTTATTTTAGTAGCATACTAAGAAAATTCTAATTTAAAATAAAGATGTCTACTTAAAGAGCACTGTTTCAGTCTAGAAATACCCATGGGGAAAATTAAGAGAAGTTAAATTCCCTCATTAGTAAATAATTCAATTACTTGGAAAAATGAAAGTGGCTCCCAGCATCAACCACAACATGAAAAAGGAGTGATGCTCCTAGTTTTCTGTTAATTTAGGATACAAGCATAAATTTGTGTCTCCTCAGTACAGCATGCTAATTTGCTGCATGCCTGTAGTACACAAACAGCGAGAAGAAATCAAAAAAGCTCTGGCCATAACTGCCAAGAATGAGGGACATCCAGAATATTGAGATTGTGTTGCAAAAAAAATGCTTCCTGTGACAAAGTCTTGCTTAGATGAGACATCAGACAGTAAAAGTGCATTTTTATGTATCCACACTATACCTGGAATGCTTCAAGCTAGATCAGACAATCACTGGGAATAKCCATCAGGAAAGGGCCTCCAGCGGCTCTGGCAAACAGACTAAGACAGATGCTACGGCCTTTTCCTTCTCTACCCTAAGAGGCTTGCCATGTTTCCCACACTTCATTTAACTGTTTAAAGCTCACACATGGAAGCCCGGAAAGGTGGGGAGATGTACRTCTTATATACCTGTTTGACAGACATACTTCACAAAAATAACTGGAGACTGCCACTCAGCCCCAGCAGAGGTGCTTACTTTATTAATGCACTCATTGTGTCTTTAAAACTGTTTAAATGAGACTGGTCCTCAAAGGAGAGGGAAAAGTAGAAAGACTACTTTTCTGTAGTGCAAATCAAATTTTGCCCTCTTTGATCTTGTCATGATAAGATAACCACTGATTTTGAGGGGGCAAATTATTCCCAAGAATGTGAATGAACATACTGGATTTTCTCCGGCGCAATACGAGCTGTTCTTTTAGCCCAGCTTACATATATGGCTCCACCAGAGAGCACCAGGAACTGCAGCCACAAGCTCTTCCTGCTCACCTGTCCTTGTGTTAGCACCATGATGCGATCGGAGCCCAGCACGGTGTGCAGGCGGTGAGCGATTGTTAGCATAGTACAGTCTGCAAATGCCTCTCGGATAGTTTCCTGAATCAGTAAATCAGTCTCTGTGTCCATGGCGGCTGTAGCTTCATCCAGGATCAAAATCTGAAAGCAGAACATGAAGATATGCAGAGGAGGCAGAATTACCAGGACACATCTGTGGTCAGAAAGGCAATCATAACGCAACCTTTTCGTTTTCCGTATGTAGTTGCACCTACAAAGTTACCCTATGGATCACACGTGCATTTTACAGCCACATCCTGCAGCCATTTGATTCCAACCTGGGCTTCAAGTTTCTACTAACTCTCAGTTTTACATTCAATAAAATCTGTATTTAAGATTAAGCTGCTGCTACACTATTGCGACACAACTTCAGTCGTGACAGTTCCTAACAAGCAATGCATTTCTGATAGCAGGACACTGCAGCACCTGGTAGATGGCTACCAACAACTTCCTACTTCTAAACCCTACACTCTCTATTTGCACTGTTTGTGTGATTCCTCTGATGCAATGAATTCAGCACAGAACACAGGCTTTGCTCAGTGCCTTTCATTTGATAGCACCAGCTACTTCTTCCACCCATATACTCACCTTGCAGCGACGCAGCAGAGCTCTAGCTATGCACAGTAACTGTCTCTCCCCAACTGAAAAGTTTTCCCCATTTTCCATCACTTCTGATTCAAGTTTCATGTGCAGCTGGGCAACCTGTGTGGAAAGCAGAGAGAAGAAACTCAGAACATTGCCCAGGTTTGCTGCATGCATCTCCACAGCATGAGATAAAGAGTTGCTCCTCCTGCAAATGCAATTTTGCCCTCACAAAGGAGAGATTAACTTCAGTATTTGAGTRTATGTTTACACTCCCACATGTAAACACACTCACAGTGTAAAATGCACATCTGTATTTACCTACACATCCAGGAAAACATCACTCCTTAGGAGTCCCTCTGATAAAGCAACATCCTGCTGCACTAGATGCTGAACTAAATACCCAAAATATGGTACTTTCTCCAAAAAGTTCACAAGTGCATTATTAGAAAATTAAGCATAACCAGTTAGAGAAAAGAAGTGCAAAGAACTTCATCTGAATGACCCTGAAAGCAGCTATCAATGGAAAACACATGTTTGAAAGCCAAGATATAAACTTATCTCACAGGACCCATCATACTTACGCATTCCTTCATGTGAGTCCTTTCCAAGGCATCCCAGATTTGTTCCTCACTGTACTGGTTGAAAGGATCCAAGTTTGACCTAGAGGGGACAGAAGAAAGCATAACCAGAACTTGTATTGCTTCAGCAAAGAATAACAAAACTGCAGTGTGCGTGTGTGTCCATGTGGACAGCTCACATCTCGTCCTCCCCAACAGAATTTCCTTGCCAAGGAAATCAGCTCGCAGGCAAATAACAGAAATGTAATAGCACAGATGCAAAAATGTCAAGCAAGCTTAAAGGAAAAAGCAAAGATTCCTTAGAGGAAAACCACACCCAGTTCTGCATTGGGCCAGTTAAACAATACACCTCTGTTTTAGTGTCTAAAATGAAGAGATGCAGATAGCCCCCGAACGTTCATATTCTATGACCAGATTAACACATCTCACCAGGTAACTATTTTAATTCAGTATGAGCTGATAGCCTTCTTTGTCTGTCGTGTTATTTTATAATCTCACTAACCTCACAGTACCACTGAACAGCACAGGCTCCTGAGGAATTATTGAGAGTTTGCTGCGAAGATCTGCTAAACCAATGTCATTTATTTTCACTCCATCAATTTTAATGCAGCCTCCAGACAGTTCGACCAGACGAAAGAGTGCCATTCCAAGAGAGGATTTCCCTAAAAATAAGGCAGAAAAAAAGGTTTTAGTCATAGTAGCCAACAGAGATGAGACCGCACTTTAAAAGTACCAAGAGAAGAAACATTAGAAGCATTTAAAAGTATCACCAAGTTGACAGCAATCAATGCTGGTAAGTAATTCAGACAGGAAAGGGATTCAGCATTTAGACTTCTAAACCATATTAATTGTTCATTTAGAAATTCCACCTGGTTTAAACCATCTCACCTACTTTTTGGTTTTGATTCTTTACATCACAGACTTGCAAGACATCTTAGAGCCACGCATCGTTGACAGCATCTGTATAAACAACTTTCAGAAAAGCAACTAATGTGCAATAAGCATTCTGTAGATAGCACTCTGCTGATCAGCAGCTTTGGATGTTAAGCATTACAAGCACACTTGCTCATAGCAGAATTTCAACTTTTTTCTTACTGCTTATGAAGATCCTGTTCACATATATGCATGAAAACAGAACCTATTGACAGCAGTGCTGAACCACTCCTGGGTAGTTAAGAATGGAATTGAATCCTTTCAGTTATTCAGAGAGGGAGAAAAAATAAAAACCTGCTATAACCACCCAGCTCTGTTACCACTCTGTAAGGGCAGTGATTTAGYTGCCAAGCATTTTTCCTCACCTGAGCCAGTCCGTCCCACAATGCCAATTTTTTCCTTTGGTTTGATGGTAAAGGACACTTTCTTCAGCACTAGAGGGAGGTTCTCTCGGTACCGCATCTCTGCATTCTCAAAAACAACTTCACCTTCCTGCGGCCAGTCCAGAGGAGGAGTTTTATTCTTGATTCGAGCCGGAGCTTCCAAGGAAAGAGTCTTTAAAACAAAAACAAAAGTCCACTTTCCAGTAAACAAAACACTAGACAGGAAAAATGATCATCTGTGGCTTTCAGCAGGAGTTCTTCCCTGCAGAGTCAGCCCATGTCAGTGTAATGGCAGTTTATGATTAGCAGTGTGGTTGGATGCTGGCCCAGTGAGTCAGAAGGGATATCCCAGTCTTAGTGGTTTGCTGTGTTACACTTGCACTGCTATTGCCCTCCTGCTGCTCACATRGTGACACCAGCCTTCAACAACAATGTTTTTATGTAACACATTTTGAAATTTATCTCAACTCTATTATTCATCGGGACAATTCTTACAAGTTGGTGGAAATTTCAAAGACTGAATGGCTTCTGGAGTCACTACCTGCAGAATTTCTGTATCTCAGAGCAAGCCACAATCACATGTCTTGGGTCTGATAATCATCTACATGACATGCTGCATTTTTACCACAGTTCTTTTCTATCAGTGTCACCTCCCTCATTTCCCTCATTGTCAGTTTAGCTCCTTGCACAGCTTGTTTTTGCAGTTTCATTCTGACCTTTAATAAGCTCCTTGTTAAGCAGTTCAGATGAAACAGGGGAAAAAAAAAGTCTGAAAATCAAGCATGCACCTTCAGGTTAAAAAGAGTCAAGGTCACTTTCCCATATTTGGCACCCGCAGTCTCTGAGGGAGCAACAAATGCCAGTACGAGATTAACTTTGCACACCTACAAAGCAAGCACTTCCTGCTGAATCAGGCCCATCAACTYCTTTATAGTCTCTACAAAGAAACTAGCATTTCAGGAGCGTGTTCTTCCTCACTGTAATATAAGCATTTAGAACAGGTTGGATGAATTGCCCTCTGGAAGCAGCCATTTCCTAAGCTGACTGTAGAGTGATCCTGCAGGGACTCTGTCAGTTGTGGCTTTTTGCAGCATCTAAAGTTAAAGGCAGATTCGTAACACTCTGAAGATTTGACAGAAACACTGCTCCCTTACAACAGGGCTCCACATCTTGGTGCTGACAAAAGCAGTATCTGCTCCCACAGGGAAAGAAACTCTGGACTTGGTGAGACACAATATGCAGGGTGTTTCACTGTTTGCCCACCCTTAATTTTAGGGTCAAACTTGTTTTATGCTGTTTCATAATAAAATTGTTGTCTAGAGACCAAAATAAGAAAAGCTGTGGAAARCGTTGCTTGATAAGTAAGCCATAATTGTAGATGTGATGCTCAAGCAGTCTGCAGCTATCGTTTTGCCCCGAAAGCCTCGAAGTGGCAAACACTATCACCTTGCAATGGGAGATATCAGGCAGAATTTGTGAAACTACAGATGTCACTGATCCACTCTACAGGGTTGCAAATACTTTACTTATAGTGTAAAATTAGAAACATACTCTCTGTATGCTGGCAGACCGCAGACAACTTCCTTTGGCCAACAACATCAATAGCAACAAGCAATTTTACAGCATGCAGCCGAATGCATCGTTGTCATACCTTGATGTAGTGATCAATTCTCTCCACTGAGGTGAAGCGAGCTTCTGTTTCTGAAGCAAGTCTGACTGTAAACTGGAATAATCCTGTTAACTGGGGCGATGAGAAGAAACAGACAAAAGCTTAGAGAGTTGTGATGAGATCTATTATCGTATAGAGACACTAATCTAATCAGTACTCAATAAAACTTAGATGCCTTGATGGAAAGTAGTCTTCCTTTATGCGGYTTAAGCTGAAACAGCTTTAAAATAACAATAAATCATGAATTGTTTGGAAAGACGGCAGCTTAGTCCAGTTTTCCCCAAGGAATGGCTTAGAAAATTAGCCAGCTAAATTTGGCATTTGCTCTTTACTACCACCAGGAGGCAGAAAAGGCCAAACAACAGATCAAATTCCAGGCACACCGAGTCCCAGAGCACAAAATCCCACACGGCTGAGGAAGGGGATGTTGTGTGCCATGTAGTTACAACACAGGCAATATAGCCACAATGCATCAAGACTTCAGCTTGGCAGATGGACCACGAATCTAAACTCCAGAAACATCCAGGAAAAATGTGCAGCATTCTATAGAGAGCCTTACCTGCTTCCTAATTCAGCATTTAGAAAAAGGCAGTTCCCCAAAACAATAACCTGAAGTACCTAGCTTTTCCCTTGAAGCTAGCAAAAGGCTTTTGACCATAAATCACTTTGAGAAGGGAGTGAGAGGGGTGAAGGAAGCAAAGGGATCTAACACTATCTTTTTTCATTATAGGAAAGAATCACGAGGAGGGAAGGGGCAGGTCTTGATTAGTGTTAATTACGTTAAATCCAGACATTATATATTAGAGCATACAACAAACTCACCTGCACAGCATATGAGATAGCTAGCCCTGCATATGCAGGAGGAATCTGGCCATGCATTAAGACAATCATAAGGCCGGTGGTTGTAATGAGAGCGATGCTGATAATGTCCAGTCGTACAGCCAGCCAGCGCATCGCGCAGCTGAACAGGTAAAACGGGGCCTGATTGTCATCTAGCAGCTCCTGATACCTGGGGTAAAAACAGGAGACATGAGTWGGCTGCCACCAGCATGATATTCTACAAATAACTGCTTCCATCCCTGCTCTAGTATCAGARATTAGAGTGGAAAGACTAGTTTTTAGCTATTCTTTAGCAAAAAAAGTCTCATGTCAAGCCATAAATATATTTACAAACGCTCCCAAATAAGGTAGGATATCGAGTTCTTTCAGACTTGCCAAAACAAGTGTCTGTGTACAGTAAATTAGAGCTTAGGGACATTACAGACAYTTGCATCACGCGACCTATGTAAGACTTTCCCAAGGATAATCGATAGCTAGAAATTATTCCACATATAAAAGCAGCAGTGGAGTAAGAACAGAATATGTAATATTTTACACACAAGTGTAGAAGTTAAATTACAGTAAAGAGGATCCAGCTAGTGACATTAAAACACACTAGTAACCATTTCATTTACAATCCTGATCCTGTGAAGCTGGGAAAGAAAATTTAGAGGGAGATGCCCTGAGAGATTTACAAGGCCAGAGAACCACCTCTTCTGATGCTGCAGCAATTTCACAGCAGCCACCGTTGCACAAGTGCCTGAAGGGCCTCAGTGCCCCAGCATCAACTGTGCCCAAGGACTGCAACASCAACTCTGTAACTTTCCATTCAAGCTGCTGTGGCAGTTCTCCCTGCTCCCCATGCTCTTGTTCTGATGACCTTGCAGCTTCTAAACTCTGATACTGTTACAGCACATTCTCATGGGAAGCAACCACCAGCAGCCCGAGAAATTCCTCACTTTCCTTCGCTTCTTGTTTTGCAGATTTTGGTTTATGCTAGAGAAAAATCAGCATAATGCTCAAGATCAGTTGCAGCCACTTAAAAACTTGATAAATACAAATCCAACAACACAGGTTTTGAGAGCTAACAACTCATCATATCAACACTGAGGCCTAATTGGCAACGCACAAGTGCTAAGAGCATTACATGCAGAAAAAAATTAAAAAGAAGTATGAGCAGGTCCTGCTGGAAAAGTGTGTAATACTAGGAGGAAATCACAGCTAAAGAGCTGCCCACTTGCTGCACTGGAGAGAATCCCCAGAGCAGACTATCCATATGAGACCCTGTTCCTGGCACTTCCAAGGTCAACCTTTGGGGAGTTTTCTCTTTCCCTTCTCTACTTTTCCCCAAAAGTAACTTTCACAATTGGAATCAGTGTGTGTCATCAAATACAGACCCTGCTAATACATTTTTCTGTTAGCAAACCTTTGGTACTGCTCTCTGCCATCTATCTGGACTGACCTGTGCAGGAATTCCTGTCCTTTGTGATAGGCATGGATTGTGGAGAGACCCTGTATGCTAGATGTAATGTGTGACAGAAACGGAGATTGTGTGATGTTGTCCAGACGCTTCAGCTCTCGAATGAAGACTCTGGAARGAAAGAAACAGTTTTAAGCAATAACTGTGTGCAGTGACTATACTGATGTGTGTATACCTAATAAAACCACATGTCCCTACCGACAGGTCAAAGCATCTCTACTGTTAAAGCAGCCAGGTACTTACCTKGACACAACGTGCAGAACGGTAAACAGGACAACGAGGGGCCCCACTGCCACCAGGAACCAAGGAAAAACTCCAGAGATCACCCCCACACAGAAGAACACAAGGATGACATTCTGGATGAACATCTCTGCTTGAAATGGCAAACGAACATCAACTGGAAAAGACAGAAAAGAGAGTCTTGAGAAGAGAAGGCTAAAAAAAACCTAAATAATTGAACTCAAAAGTATAGCATCACTCACTAGGACAACAGTTCCTTATGGCTTATTTAAATATAAAACATTTTCACTAGGGATGCTTTTATCTTCTGAAATGCCAGTGATCTTCCTAATGATGCCTATTTGCAAGAAAAGCACTGATGCCACTCTTACCTAATTACCTGCTTTACTGTGCATCAGCTTCACCCTGATAATCCAAGCTCCCCTCTACATTAACTGCTAAGCGTCTATGTGCAACCTATGGGCATGAAAACATATTTTCTGTAAGAAAATAGTGAGACTTTGGATATCAGYTGCTTCCTACAAGGGGAAGCCTAAAATGTCCCAAATTGTGCTTTGTCTATTTGGAAGAAAGGCTTGCATAGATACAGGGTATCCTCACCCCACCAGTGAGGTTGTACAGAATTAGGGAGCTAACCAGGAGATCTGTATGTGGGACTATCTCAAATCATCATGGAAAACACACCTTCATCCATGTCTTTGGAAAATCTGTTAAGAATCCGTCCCGTTGGTGTAGTGTCAAAGAATTTCATGGGGCTACGCAGAATCCGTCGGAAGAGCTCATCGTGTAGCCTTGAGGATGCTCTGAGAGTTCCCTGGTAGCACAGACAACATAAAATATTATCAAAGGGTGTTTGCCTCTCATGTTTGCCTTCACATCACAAAACATTTCACTGATTCACTCTCAAACCACAAGTATGGATTTTTTTCTTGCATTCTGGGCTTATAATCAGTAGAAGGAAGCTAACAGCAAACATGATGCATGCCCAAGAGATGACTTGATGGAAATCTTGCAACCCACAATTTGACTTCTTTAGGTTCAGAACAAAACACACTACAATGACAACAGTTCTGTACACACAGAAGTTGGCAGAAGGGGAGAGGGGAAATAGAAGAAAACTAACACATGGTGCTGGCACCTACCTTCACAAAGACAACACCACGAACCGCCTTCAGGATCAACATGACTGCCATGGACAGAGCATAGATGCCAGCATAGTAATGCATGTGAGGGTTATCTTTCATACTGTTGCTTATGACAGTGTCATTTCCCAAAGTCACGGTGGTGTTCTGTAAGAAATTAATGGGTTCAGTSAATAGGTGGTTAAGACAAGGATTAAGCAGATTTGCACAGTGTGGAATTTAACCGTTATCCTCACATTATTTTTGGTGTTTCTTTAAAGCAAGCTCTTTTTATTTTAAATTCTGAAAAACTCTGAAAAAAGAAAAATCTGTTGCCACTCTAGAGCAACAGAACCCAAGAAACATTSCACTTTTGAAATCTTCTTGAAGTCTCTCAGAAGAGTGGTCTGCTACTCCGAGGTACTAAGTTTTGTTAGTCTTTGCACAGTTTTTCAGTCTGTGCACACTGTTGCCTTCCCACCTGAGTTTCAATGAGTCTGTGTCCCACTACGCTGGCTATGGGACAGAGCCCAGAGGACACAACACTCAACTTAGACACACAGTCCGTTTGATGCACACGGTAGCTGTGCACAAATTCATTATGTAAGAGCAGAATCATAAATACTCTGATGCTTCTCTCCACTGTTGGCTAATTTAGCAACATTTGCACCCTTTTTTTTGCCCATCTCTTGCACGTCGGTATATTAGATTCAAAGATCTATGTTACTGGGAGAATTTCAGGATGGCTGTCAAATCACAAGTATTTCTTTCCTAAGAGACTGGTGATCCCCAAAAAGGTACCTCTGTCTCGTGCTCACAGCACGCTGAACCCAGAGCAACCTCAATTACTTTCAAGTGGTGGGAGGCTTCTCTCATGAAATACTGCAGCCCAATTTGATAACTGATTTCCTGGGTAGCTCTTAGAGGAGACATCCCTTATACGGCAGGTGTCGGCTAGAATACATTCACACAGCWGGACAGGGGGAAAATGCCCTAATTCCCAAGGTTTCTTCTAAACTGCCTCAGTACAATATGRCTGTTGGAATCCTTCATACAGCACTAGTGCACAGATCAGAGTTGATGTGTTCAAACTGCCAATAAGAACACACTAATTCCAATMATCTCCTTCATTAATTCATTAGCCAGGTGGTTATTTGGAATGATTATACAGCATTAGTTTCTTGTGAAACTGTATCAACTACTAAATTAGTCTTCTTGCATAMAAATTTCCAGTAAGGTCAGACCGGTGGCATCTCTGACTCTACTCTGCCTTTAAACAGTGCCAGTTTATTGGACACTGCAAATGCAGAAGATGCAAAAATTCCACAGTATGTGGATGCATCTTAAACCTCATCAATCAGAAATAACTCAAATCCTAAAGCGCTTTTTTTCATTTTCCATATCATTAACTCTAAATACTTAACTCTAACTGCTTTTAATATTCCTATTGACCACTCAATCCCTCTTCAAACTGTATTTCAGTCATGTTTTCATTTAACAATCATGTCAAATCATTTAGTATAATTTATMTCTCACAAACCTAAGTCATCCAATCAATCGAAAAGAATCATGCTTTTCCAGTATACACTTAAGTGAACCATGAATATTTCAGAAAGCTTTCCCTAACAGAGGTACTTGACTTACAGGTTTGTATCCCTCAGCCTTTTTTTCCTAGAATATCCTTGAAAATGCTACTGTAATAAGCACTTTGTTTCACTATCTTCCTGCAAATGCTGTGGCAGCAACAGCTCCTTCCTAGCCTTTCATTTCACACCTGTTATTTCTTGTGCTCTTCTGAACAATGCCAGATATCTGCATGCCACCATTCCTATTCCACAGGACGATTCACTTTGGATGTGTTGTGAGCTGTCTCCTTAATCAAATGCTCTTATTTTCTGCCAGGAGCCCAATCATTTTCTGTACTGGAACAGAATTACACATTCTAATTCTCTCTCTCTCTCTTTTTTTTTAATTCTTTAGTATATTTAAAGATCCCATTGTTTATTTAAGCCTTGCTGGCCATCTGTGCTTCATTATCCTTTCTCTGAGGGGTTTTTATTTAATTCTCCTAATTTTAGATCTTTAAAAGCTACAAGAGTCACAATCAAAGCCCCTAGAGTGGAAAAAAATTCCAAAGCATCCCAGGTCATCACATTTTTCAAAGAAACTCCCACTAGTCATTTGACTTGAAGTTTGACTTTGAAGTTTAAGCTTGACTTGATTCTTTAACAAGAAAGAATAACCCTGTTAGGTGCAAGGTCACATTCAAATTAACACAATCACTAGAGTTAGTAACTCTTCTTGCAGCTTGTTGGCTCCCTTTATATTTTCCTTCTTTTTCTTAAATTAATCGAGACAAAGAACACAAGGGCACTGTAAGACTGGACAAGCTGTTACATCTTTCTTTTAAACAGAGCTCTCATTCTTGAAGATAACTTTTCTCTGGTGAGATTACTTCTTGGGGAGCCTTATAACTTGTTTGCATTATGAAGTACCACTTGGTCCCATAGGACTGCTTGGGAATGGTGTCAGGGAGAATCCCCCTGCCCCTTATGCATAAAAGAGTAGAAAAGTTATTAATCTTACTCCACTGCCTTGCTTGATCCAGAAACTCAGCCACCAGTTGCTAAAAGCTGTGCTGCCCACATTCAGCACGAAGAGGGCCATGATGATGAGAAACGCAAAGGGGCCTCCAGCTGCCTGAATGTAGATGCCATAAACAGACCAGGGGACRGAGCCTTTGCCCTTCTCTTCCACCTGCACCAACTGGCCTGTAAAAGAAAAGAAAATAAAATGGAGAAAGAGTGAGGAAAGAAAAGTTGTTGCATGGAACTTCTGCAAGTTTAAAAACATCTGAGAGACTAAATTAATTTTCACACTCTACTGGATAATTTCAAAAGTTCAGCTATTACTGAACAAAGTTCAGTGGTTCAGATATGTTTGCAAAAAGTCACGTTTCACCAACATTATCATTTGCATCATGGACTGAAAAAGCTCACTAGGCTSGTATCAACTCCATCATTGATTCTCTTAATCCCACCAATGTTAAAAGTTAACATTAAATAGGGAAAACCCAAAGATAAGGGTCACACCTTCACATTCCTCATACAAAAATGGCATGGTCTCCCCAGGAGTCCACAGGTATTAAGCTATACATGCTTGGAGAGGTGGTGTGGGAGAAGCAGCTTTGAAAGAAAATTCACAACATGCGTTGAAAACAAAAGTTTTAAACTTTCGGGGCTAATATGCAATTACAGCCAGAAATCTGATTACACAGTTACCCTCTTCCTTCTTCACAACTTTCTCCTTCTTCACAGATCCTGCTTTGGTACTTTTATCCTGGGGTCTCTTCAGTGAACTATTTGTGGTCTTCTTAATATTAATCTGTAGGAAAACAATGTCACTGAACAAACTAAAAATGAATAATTTTTATATATTCATAAAGATATAATCCCCTTCTGCAATAACAATTTACATTTTCATTAAGAGTTTTTTGTCCACACATACCCCCTAGAATACCTCTCAGGAAACCTCGGATGAAATGTTTCTCTCTTCCAAAAATCTTACTGTCGTTCAAAAAAAGAGAAGCCAAAAAAGAGCACAAGCAGCATCTAAGGAGTCAGTTARCTTGGACTTGCAGAAATCAAATGGCCAAAAGGCTGAAAAGGGCACACAGCTACTCTTCTAAAYTTCCCACAAATGGAAAGGACTCTCTGTTCTGCAGCTGCCTAGATCTGTTAATTGAACTCCCCTACACACCATGTTCTGGGTCATCTTCCCACCCTTTGCAGGGCAACCCTTCAGGGTGAGAGATCTTGCATGTGGCAAACCACAGAGCACCCAACTTCCACCTCCCTTTCTTCTAACCCCCAGGGAACACAAACCAATGTTCCTTCCGTGTGTGGCAGAGCTTACAAAGAGTGAAGGTCAGCCAAGTAAGCAGGCTGGAACCTCTCATGTTAGCTGTCATTACATTAATTTTAGAATGGCTGGGCTATAATCTTCATGCCTGAGAAAGGATATGCAGGATAATGCTTTACATTCCTTCACTTCTTTCATCTCCCAGGAGAAAATCCTAACAAAAAAATCCTACTCCATTTATCATGACGCCACCTTTTCAGAAAGTTCTATTTTCTATGTCTGTATTTGGGAATAAAGAGCCTCTCACTTCTTAAAAATAAACTCAAATGCTTTTAGTCTCTTTTTAAGAAAGAACATATGTAACATTTAAGCTGAGAAAGTTCTAGAATCAAAGCAGCAAAGTCACCAACTCTAAAAATATCTTTAAGAAACAAGCAGGGGAAGGTGGGAAAATTAAATAGCTGAAGTTTTAAATGCACGTCCTAGTGAATGGTTCTTTTTAATTTACAGTTTGTTATTTACATTTTTTCTGTAAACATGAAAGGATGATCCACTGACTAAAAGACTAACACAAATCTAGTTTGCATTTAGAGCAATTGCTTCAAAACAGAAGCAGTCCCAAGCAACAAGATTTTTTTTCCCCAAACTCCACAAAACAAGGCATTTCCAGAGTCACATTTCCAAGTTACTGTCACAAATAATTTTTGGACAAGTCGTGTCATTGTTGCTGTGCCTCAGTAATCACCTGCTATGAGATAAAAAGAGGGAAATATCTAGAAAGAACTTGTGGGACAAAGGCTGGGTCACATTTGAGTCAGTTTGGAGGCAAGAAATAAGCTGTTCAATGAAAGAGGCGAGAAGCTTCCTGCTCTGAGCATCACCAGAAGAAATGACACTTATTTCATCTTCATTTCAGCTCACTAGCAGAGTTAATATCTTTATAATATAACCTTCAAGCACAAACACAAACTAAGACTTCAAATGGAAAGTGCTAATAACACACAGAATATTCTACAGGAAATTTATGGGTCAGATCAAGACATCAAGCCATWTTCCAGTCGTCTTTGAACTAAGTCATTTGGCTAATCTCATTAGAAAAGTCAAAGAGCTTTAAAATGGAAAACAAGTACCTCAATATGTGGTGTTTCTCCCAGCTGCAGGTTATTAAAAATGGTTGCATAGTCACCATTTAAATTCATCAGTTCCTCGTGACTTCCTCGCTCAGTAATGCAGCCTTCTTTCATGAAAACCACCTCATCACAATCAACAAGATACTGTAGAAAATGGCAGTGAGAACAAGCTTTTATCATTCTGCCCAATTATCAGGCACATGCCCACATGAGCCTATTTTGTAATTTAGAAACATTAGGTGGTGTGGAGACGAGGTGAAGTAAAAAGCCTTTCAAGTACCAGACATTTGATTTTAAAGGATCTGCACTGACTAGAGTAACATGATTAGTCTCACTCTATACGCACAAAAATTGTGTGTGTTCTATCAAAGATAATCCATTACGAAAGACAGGATTCAGGATATTTAAACCCTGCAAACCCTAATATATCAATAATAGTATCTGTATGCACAGAAAATGACAAAACCAACAGAGAATACATCATCAATATGAAAACTAGACATTTCCGATGTGATAAACCAACCTGGTAAAAAAGGTTTTTGAATAAGATATTCGTATTTCTGGTAAAATTTCTTTAGGTAAGTGTTGCCAGTACCTATCAGCCAAATATGCACCAGTATCAGCCCAAAGGATCAGATTGTGCTCTGTGCATACTCGCAAACCTTGGCTGTAAACCTAAACGATGCATCCTAGCRAAAGGGAATTGCGCTGTAACAGGTCACAGCATGGCAATAGTCAGTATGAAAACTGACTTAAATAGCATCTCAAAAACTCCAAGAAAAAGTATGAGAGATGCAGTACCTGAAGCTGATGCGTGATGAAGAGGACAGTTTTTGACTTCAGGTGCTTCCTGATTGCGCTGTTAAAAATGTGATTTCCCACATGAGCATCTAAGGCACTGAGGGGATCGTCGAGGATATAAATGCTCCTGTCGCTGTACAGTGCTCGAGCCAGACTGATCCTCTGACGCTGGCCTCCGCTCAGGTTAGCCCCTCGTTCACCAATCTGCACAGATGAAGTTATATCTGTTAGTTTGGCTCTACAACACTACAACACAAAAACTCACCGCGTTTGTGAGGGGACTGAAACGAAACAGTCCATACAATACTACAGGAATTTTATACTCRTAAGTGTCCATTTCTTTGTGCAATTATATGACCAACTCAAGGCTAATATGCTTCACATATGACAGTCACTTTTTTTTGCTTATTTTACTCTTATTGTAAAAATACAGCCATATTTTTCTTAGCTATTTTAAATCAAATTCAAGTAGGGCCTGTAAAGGCAACTAAATTTACAACACAGTGAAAACATGCCCAACTATCAACTTCCAAATCCAAAACACGACACAATTCAGAATCAATAGTCCAGGTCTATTTGATAAGCTCAGTAAGGTGCAATAAGTCATTTGGCAGCTTGACTTGTATGAATAACAGATCGATGTCCCCCTCAGCCCACTCTGGTTAAGCCAAGCCAAAATCCTGATTTCCTCCATCTTTATTACAAATAAAATCTGTACCTCTGTCAGGTCCCCATTTGGAAGGATGGCTAGATCAGGTCTCAGACAGCAACCATTCAACACAGTATTATATCTAAAGAATATGAGTTAGATTAGCAGTAAGTTTTTTTCTCCCCCCTTCAAAGTGTCTAGATAACACGGCATTATCTCACTTTTTACATAAATATCAGACATTCCAGCAGTCTAAAGCAGATGATCTGTCTTGGATTCCCAAGAAGCTGAGGACAGCACTTCATTACCTACTTTCTGAAATACTATGTAGGTAAAGAGGCAAATTCTTTCCAGAGATAAGCAKCCCAGGCCCAACAGCGGGCCCCCACTGGGAAAGGGCCAAATGAAGTGGGTGCACATTGCAAGTAGCAGTTGTTCAGAAGGCACAAGGCCAGGACAGCAAGAGCAAATAACGCAGCAGCTGCTACAAGCAGAGGTCAGACAGTACCCGAACGTGAGCTACCAGCCACCACTGCAAGAGTGATGACAGAAGCCCTTAGAGCCATCGGCCATAGTGACCACATGTAGAGGCCAGGGGCTCTCAAAGAAAACTCAAACAAGTCTTAAAGGCAGACCCAAAAAGAGAGGCTACATGGAATTTTCCCACCTTGGGTCAGGAATTACTGAGTTATCATAAAAATAAGCAAGCAGTTCTGACAAACCTTTCTTCATCATATTCCTTCCCAAAGAGAATGTTGTCTCTAAGTGTGGCATTGAGAATCCAGGCCTGCTGGGCCACATAAGCAAATGTTCCACTTACTGCAATGCTCCCCTCCAGCAGGGTCATCTGGAACAGAAGACAAAAATCTCAAAATTAAGCCATTCCGTGTTTAGAACAGCCTTTCTTCTACAGGGTACAATGGAAATGATCTCACTTTTCCAAAAATAATTGAATTAGGAGATAGGAAAGAGAAGGGCATGTAAATCAAAACAGAATTTCTCACCTGTCCTAAAATAGCTGAAATAAGTGAAGTTTTTCCACTCCCCACACTGCCACAGATTCCAACAAGTTTTCCCTAGGCAAGAAAAAAAAAATATATATATATACACATACACACACACACACACACTTATTTACATAATAATATCCAATAAAGAATTTGAATAAGCTACCACATCTCAGAGGGGATAGTAAAGACATTAATGCCGGATGAAAAAGGCAGTATTTGAACTTGAAAAAAGTGTGATCACTGTCTCATTACAGATTAAAACTATATAATAAATATCACAGGTGAAAAGCTGTTTCACAGGTATTTGAAGATCACTTTACTTTGACTCAGAGCTCCCAAGGAATGGTGAACTCAGCCCAAAATACCAAGGCTTTTTCTCAGCAGAAGTTCATCCAGATTACAGGTGAAAATCCACAAAATTATTAAATGATTGTGGGAATAAATCCTCTACTGATATACTGATATCTTTTGCCTTACTGATTCTTTAAGTTCAGCGGTCATACACCATATTGAGTGCTACAAACAGCAAAATCTTGACTTAAATGCAGCAGGGTGAGAGTTATACATCCTACAGTGCTTCAGATGCTGTTTGCAGGGCTTGCTTGCAAAAAAAACAGCACTGTTGTTCACATCAGGATCAGGTACTGCACCCTAGCTACTGCAGTTGCCATGGATATTACAGAAGKGTACAAATAGCAACGTGCTCCATTTTGTACAAAAATCCACAGATTCTCTCCTAAAGGACAGCCAAGGAAGGCGTTTTGAGTGACCAGATCAATTTCTCCTTCTCTCACCTTTTCTATCTCCAGGTCAATGTTATAGAGAGCCCTCTGAAGCCGAAGGTTAACCAGGTGGATGATTTTGTTCTCCTCTTCAGGGCTAGGATGGTCATCATTGTCCACTAGAAGATGGCCCTTCTGCTCTGCCAGCACAGCTTGCTGTCCCTCATTCTGCAGCTTCATTTTCTCCTTCTTGCCCTTTGCGACTTTCTTGTCTTTTTTCACTTTGGGGGTCAACTTTGGTGAGCTCTGGACGCTGGCGTGGGAGAAGTCCCAAGCCAAAGTAGCATTTTTCACCTCTATGGCGGTTTGAGGATTGGCTGGTTTTTTCTTTATCATATGAACCTCTTCCATTAGAAATAAACTCTGATAGGAGTTGTGAGAGAGGTGTAAAGATGAGACACCTGGTCAAGACTGGGAGACAAGCCTACGGCACACTCACGCAGCAAAACACATCAGGCTATACAGTGGGAGGAAGCTGAAGAGCAAAAGGTAGCTCATTAGTGTAAACTAACTGCAGGCCTGCTAAGTGGCCTGGGCATTCCTGGATGTGGTGGAAGCACTTAGATACAGAAAGGCTTTCAGGGAATTGCAATATTTGCAATTATGAGGGGCTTATTCTTCTAATACTGTTTGCAACTCTGATTTTCCAGGCACAAAACAYGTGGCTTGGAAAGTGGAGGTCACTAGGAGGGAAAGCCAGTGACTTGCCCTGCACACTGGCTCATTGCAGGAGTTGCAATGACTTCCTCCAGCCCCCTGCGGAAGGGCTGTATTTCTTGCTGGGAAAAGGTAATCTGATTTGGATGATCCTAGATTGCATGACAATAATAGACCATTAGGCCCATCGTATCCTGTTCTCCACCACATCCATCAATTTTCACAATCAACAGATTAGGAGAAGATTTCACACAATTACAAAATAAAAATCATTAAAAACTAAATCAAATAAAAAGTGTTTGCAATTACAGAAGTGTCAAGTTCCAGTCTTAATCTTGTGATTGCTACGCCTGAATCATATACCCATAAGAAAGCTCATACACATCTACAGAACCAGAAGCCAGTTAGGTTTGTGACATTACAGCATCCCCACTTTGTGTTACACTCCCTAAACAAATTTCTCTTTCCAGTSTTAAACACTTTCACCTCTTCCCCCTCCTCCAAAACTCTCCCGATCCAGTTACATTGAAAGGAGTTTTGAAAGCAATGGGCTCTCTCAATCATTCTGCAGATCCTGTTTCTTTCATATTCAAATATGTTTCAAAAATTCCTTACATGGAATTCATATACCAGGCAATGTTTATATGTATTAGTTAATATCCTATTGGGAAATACCCCTGCAATGCACTATTACCTCCAAGAGGAGGCAAAATAAACGCCCATTCTCTGTTCTTTGCTAAGTATACATAGTATACATTTATTCATAAGGACTAAAGAACAAAATAGGAGCACTTGTGTCATCTGGACTGTACTTTTCCACCCTAGATTTTGTTCAGTTGAATCATCATTGCATAATATTCATCTAAGGGGTTGGAATTTTAGGCACTCCATCAACACTGAATACACCAAACCACTGTTTTTCATGACAAACAAAACACTACACTCACTATCCTAACCATGCAAAGCCTGCCAATATGATACATGTGATATGTCCAAGATGGGTTTCACTGCTGAAATACATAATTTAGTTGCAGGTATGCTGTGCCTTTATTTTTTTTTTTTTTGAAGATGGTGTTAAAAGAGTCTAAGAATTATTATTCTGTGAGCCAGTATTCCATCTAGCCCAGTATCCCATTTCTAACAGGGGTCAACCTCAAAACCTTGCAATCACTAAATGAGAATATCTTGCTTTGTAGTGTCATTACCTTAAACCTTTAACATTCCTAGACTGGATTTGTACCCCTTTTGCAGGATAACTATACCTGGAGTTTTAAGTGTAATGAAAAAGAACTCTTCAGACATTAAAACAGAATTGGCTTTAAGGTGTCCCCTTAGTGTCCTTTATACACATGCAACATTTCATACAGATARATAAAAGCACAAGGCCAAAGGACTGCTTACCTTAAATCTGTCAACAGACACAGATGCCTCAGACAGAGACTTCACTGAAAAGGGTGTTACTTTTAGAGCAAAAGTCATTGAATTAAAGACAGTGACCACTGTGAATGCCTAAAAACAAGACAAGAAAATCATATTTGGATGCAATATACCCACTAGCAATTCCAACCTTCTAAAGGCACAGAGCAGCAATTCAAAGTCATAGGAAAAAGAAAACACAATTCAAAAGCAGCAGATCCCTGTGACACTTTCCCCAGTGCTAACAGATCAAGACAAACATGTTTCAAAATGTCATCAGTGTTTACAGGTCCACTGAAAACGGCAGACAGCAAAATTCTGCTTTAGCCTATGACTTTTGCAAGCCTGTGCTCCAATCCCATCAACTCCCAGAGAGACACAGTTCTGTGCTGTTTGCATCCAAACACATCGTAACGCAGAAATCCCTGTGTCCAATTGAAAGAGCCACCAGGAAGGCTGGTTCATATTCAGCTCAAAACCTGTCCTGGGGAAGGCCAAGGCTCAAACAACATTTAGAAAGCTTGGGKTTTTTTTGGCTCAAAATGCAACAGTACATCTACTGTTGTCACATCCATTAGATGTTCAATTTTGTGAGCCAGGTCAGGAGCAAAGAACATGCTAAGGAGATCGCATGTATCTTTCTTGCAGCTTAACAGAAAAGCAACCATAATTATCTTGTAAAGAATATTTTCAAYATTGACAAGCTCACCAGTTACCTGAGCTGCTGTAAGATCGTAGCCAAGGATCATATGGACAGAAAACGTCACCACACTGGCAATAACTACAACTATGGGAGCCACACCCACAGTGATGCTCTGGAAGTAGCCTGCACGCTCTAAGATTTTACGTTCTTCCTCCCGAATTTCTAGAAATATAAATAGGGGCACCACGTTTGAAGTAGGACTCAGAGGAGTACATACACAGCAGACACTATCCACAGCACTASAAACACCAAACGAGGTCTAACTTTATGCTTCAGCATTTACCACATTACATATTTCCCTGTAAGAATCACAGTTACGGGGAGGCAAATATAATTGTCTGTAAATTTCCATAAAAATACAAGTCTTTTTACTTTTATCAAAAATAGGAGATCACACATTTAAATGACTTAAAAATAGAATAAAATTTTTAAAATAGAGCAAAGTTTCAAACATTATTATGCTAGAAGGTGAAGCTTCAGAAACAGGACTGTTCTTCCAACCCATCAGGCATGGGAGAAACAGGGAGCTTGAGGGATGGCTGTGCTATTACACTCCATTTGCATCAACATCTCTGGTCCTAAGCTAGGAAGATGCACCAGGACATTAGGCAATGGAGCATTTGTACAAAAGGGGAACAGAGGTTTTACCAACTCACTTTGAACATTCTGAGAAAACGCTTTGACCCAGGCATACATTTTAATGAACTTAATGTAATTAAGGACTTCATTCATCTTCTGCACACGCTCATCTGTTGTTGCTACACATTTTCTTCTGAAATAAGCTGTGAGGCGCGATACAAACATCTGAAACGAAGCATCACCACAAAACATTAGCAGCAACTCTGAAATGGCAACTACAGAGTCCTCCTCACTACCAGGAAAAGCAAACTGATTCTGAAACAGGATTTCAGCTATGGGCCAAAAGGCAGTCATTTTGATATAAGCAGCAGGATAAAAGTGCTCTTCATATCCTCCCACAACACCTGCACTGAACACTAAGATCATGACAGGAAATTTAAATGAAAATGGTGAAAATAAAGCAATGGGCTTTTATCATTAATATTGAATGGTTATGATACTAGGTCTTTAAAGTTTCTGAAGTACAAAAACTATAAACACGACAACCTCAAGACAAACTAAATTAGCCCTCAACCAAATGGTCACTAAAACCCCCTTCAATCAACCGTTTAACCTGATCCTACACTAGGCATAAAAAAGGGCTAGAGTTTGCACAGCCAGGTCAAGTTTTGTAACATGCCAGTGCTAGGAAAGTGTGAAAACAATATTAACACCTCTAGTAATCTAAAAAGAAACAGTCGTTCATATGTTCCTAGGTATTTTTAGTCACACTTCTCTAAAATCCCAAAAGAACACACTTTATTAGTAAGTTTTCTGCTCTTTGCCACCTCTTCAATTCCCCTTCAACACAAAAAGATTGCTGAGAACAACTGAAGAACATAATGAAACACTACCCATTCTCATTACTTTGTGGGTTTTCTTGGGGGTTTTTTTGGGGTTTTTTTGGGGTTTTTTTTTTTTTTTTTTTTTTTTTTGGGTTTTTTTTGGGGGGGGGAGCAGGCAGGGGGCAGTTGGAGAGGAAGGATATAATTATATAATTCCCAATGTTCTCACCCTTACTGTTCACAGATTAATCAGACTGAAGAGGACTTCAAAGTATTCCACCTCTTTGCTCTTTTAAACTAGAGTTTCTGTAAACACTAACAAATATTCAGCAGCCTAAAAAGATTTGGGCTCAAGCCCAGCCCATTTCACAGTTCAGCAGAGGCAGCAGTATCTAAACCAAGAATACTCTCCCTAACAGGCGCTCTTGGGCATCTTTTGTTGAATTCAGGAGTGGTTTGTTCTTGTGTGAAACACGTACCCTCTCCCCGCTTTATACAACCTGAACATCTTCCGTCTCCCCAGACTCAACTGCAAATACTGGAGTTTTCCTCATTTCACAGTGTAACCTAGCTACTCATATTTATCTTCAAGCCCAAGCTATTCACTTTCCTACTTCCATTTTCTAATTCACTTTACCACTTTTCAATTTCAGGTTTCCAGATTTCTGCTTTTTATGCCGTCTTTGGGAACARCTTCAATATCATGCAGCGCCATAAATAGGGTTAACCTAGCACTTTTCAACAGCCGTTCAAGACTATACAGGTCTAAACTAAGAAAAATGAAGCATTCAAATAATCATTGAATTTTCTTCAACTCACCATTGCTGGGTAGAAAAGGATGAAAACAGCAGAACCCAAGAAGCCTGTTGGACCCAGGATGATCACATTATAAACCATTCCCAAAATGGCCACAATAGGGCCCCCAGCCAACAAACTGCCAACCGCTGCAGCTTCAAACATCCTTTGACCATCATTGGAGCATACATTTATGAGCTGAAAAATACGCATACAGTATTTAGATTTAGGATGCAGCTCATCCTCAAAGGAATGCCCTGCATATTTCTCTTCATCCAGCCATTTCCAAGAGATACTGTGGCTTACCTCTCCAAGAGACTTCTCCTTGATATTTTTCAGCTTGAGAATTTTCTTAAAGGCCATGGTCAAGATAGCTCCACGCAGTCTAACCCCCGTGCGGTAATTTAAAGCCCAAGTTAGTGCAAGGGACCAGGATCGCACAATTTCCGTCATAAAGATGCCAAAAACTAAAAACAAGCTGTACTGCAGGTTGGACTCACTCTGCTGTGTATATTCCAAGAGATGTTTCACCACGAAGGCCTACAGGAAGAAATGCAAACTCGCATGAACACCCATCATCTCAGAGGACCATGCAACAACTTTATGTTAAGTTAGAAATAGGCTACTTTGCTTTAAAAGAGCCATTTGAAATAGAAAGTTTCTTCTTTCTAGAAGTAAAAGATGTCAATAAAAGGAGTACTGTAACACAAAGCCCTGCTGAGAGCCAAGCACTGAGGCAAATTCAGTAAGTAAAGTTTAATTTGGAACCACATTTCTGGCAGAACACTTCTAATCTTCCATGTCTTCTAACTTAACATAAATCTGTCAATTAGCTGAAAGCAATGCATTATTATATAGAAGAGTTTTAAGATATAGGTTGCTACTTATACGTCTGAGAACATTAAGAGACATTCCTTTATACGGTATTAAGACCTTTTTTATTTTATCTTTGGTTTGCTTCAAACGTGCTTATTTGATAAAAAGGAACAATGTACCTACAGTTGTAGTGGGGAAGAGTGAGAAGGACATTTGCAAAACATTCCTGGAAATAAACATCAGCAGTTTAATAGTAAAGAAAAATCAAGCAGAAAGCACAAGGTACGCAATGCCATAAATCATTGGGGAAGAGGGAAAAAGAAAAAGGAAAAAAAAATTAACCATTCACTCCCTCCCCACCCCATCTCCCTCCAAAACCATAAACATTTTACCTCAGGAATCACATTTCAAACATCACCTGCAGAAAGATGGTAGCCCCCAAACCACCGATTCCCACTTGCAGCTCTTTGTGGTCCAACAACACAATATAGCGTTATATAAGTCAAAATCACCAACAATATAAATACTATTGACTGAGGAATAACAAGCTTTTATTTGAAATAAAGTGCCATCTTCAAACGGTAACATCTCACAAACACCGTACAAAAGATAAAGCATTATTATATAAACATACAATCTGCACATACAGGATAGTTATAAAAGGCTAGTATCTAACAATCAATCTTAGCCTCAAAAACAAACTAGATTTGAAACTACACACAAAAAAATTGGCAGATACAAAACCAGAACGAATATGTGTTTCTGAAGTCCAAAAGGAAGTCAAACTTGCAGATGCCAGTGGAGGGTTCCAAGGTTGCACAGATACTGAAATCTGGTTTAAAAGTATGTTACGAGTAAGGCTTCCCAGATAACAAAAGGAGATTTCCTAGGGAGCTTTTCAATAAATTATGCTTTAAGATGCTTGTGCTTATGATAAGCTAATACAAAGTGGAGAATTTCCTTCGCCCACAACGAAAACAGAAAAAAAATCTGAGACCAAAGAAAATATTCTAGAAGCCTTTCAAAGTCCATTGAAGTCCTCTTGGCTAAACCAGGTTTTGCAAATAAGAGTTCTCTACAGTATGAAGAGAGAGGAAAGAAACAAAACCCTGCTAATTCAGCAAAGGTACCAATAGCTAGAGCCCAGCACCAAGTAACAGGAAAAAAAAATGAGATAAAATTCATCTCTTCTGAGGAAAGTAAGTCTGCGTGTCAGAACCAAGGAAACATGCTGTGAATAATTTTGATCTTTCATTTTCGCAGGTGTGAATTAAAGCCAGATGTCCATGAGGTTCTAGAGTGGCCACTGAGAAAATTTACACATTGGTCCCTGACCAAATGTGAGGAGCTCACATCCACACACCTACTGCATTCCAGCTTTATCTTTACTTGGATTTAGTTTTCCATGCACTGKTTAGACCACAACTGCATACAGTTGGCTTGCAGTTACTAAGAAGGCTACTGACTTCTTTTTCCATCATTATTCAATCCAACATATGCAACTGAGTCACTGAGCAGTGGGGTGAAAATGCCCCTTTTTCCTCATGAGCTGTAACTCAGCATGGTCGCAGACTGCAAGCACTTTCTCGCACACCACAGCATTGCTGAAAGTCTCCAAGAGAGGATGTATAAAGATAGCAGATGTTTCCTGGGGTCTCATTCCTCTCAAAACTTTAGTGCAATTTTTTTCAGCACTATTTTATAGAATCACCATTCTCCAGTGATGAAATAGAGACCAGCTTACATTATACTTTTTTTTTTTTCTTCTCCAGAAGAAAAGAGAGGAAACAGCAAAATTAAAGAATTTTGAAAAGGGAGGGGGAAAGAAGTCGCACAGAGTTAACATTTACATCTGAGAACATCGTTTGAATTCAAACTAATTTAATGAAAAAAATCCAGCACAAAGTTCTTTACAAAACAAATTACAGTATAAATCATTTTCAAACTAAAGGGGAGAAAAGAATGTGTGTGGCTATCACCGTGGTAGTCGGTACTAGCTGCTCGGCTGTTTTAAGCATTCCCATGGAATAAACATTACCTTACCTTTGCTCTTGGCGGCGGCTCTGCCCAGCAGGACTGCCTCACTCTGACGCAGAAAACAGCCATCCTGGAAATTCTAAAGAACAGCTTCTGTCACTGGTCCCACTGCAGCGTCCCCGTCGCAGCCAGCGCCCGCGGCGGGCTGCGACTGGAGCCAACTGGCAAAGCGGGCAACTTATCTCCAGCAGCCGACCACCCCCCTGACCGAATTGTCACGCTGTGCTCCCCTGAGATAGCAAGGTTCCCCGTCTCCCAAACTGGAAGACTGGCTCTGAACAGTTGCTAACAGGTACGGTGTTCAAACCTGGAGTTCAACTGACTGTGTTTAGTGAGTTAAACTGTTCAGTGAATCAAGAACTTGGTTGCTCCTCAACTCAAATGTGAAAGTTTTGGTAGCTGGTTAACTGGCAGCAAATATCACTGAAGATAAATACTATCTCACTCTACTAGTACAGTCTGATGGTTATTACAGGACAGTCTGACACAGGCAGCTATATTCACCAGGCTATAGGTTGAGACACTACGCCAGACACATCATTTATCAAAATAAAAAGCARAAGATCCTTGAAGGAGCTGTCTGATATGAAAACACAGAGACAGGATGTCTGCAACAGCTCCCTCCCAGCTATAACCATCACAGTGCTCATTCACAAAGCCACAGCTGCAGGCTGGCGCTCCAAGGTCATAAAAACTCTACTCAAAATTTGAACCAAGTTTAACAAAGTGCTTAACTCAATTTTGATCGTTTCAAGTCAAATCAAGTGCTTTTCCTGGACTCCCTTTTCACCTTCAGGTGACTGGAAGGCAGCAGCAATGCAGGAAAGCACGGATATGTCAGAGGAGACAGCGCAGGCACAGCACAGCGTGCCGGTTCGGAACACGAGGAGGGGTGGTACAGGCTCATTTTTCATGCCAAATCATGGAACCAAAAAGACATGGTTCTTCAGTGAGAAAGTATAAGGTTGCCTGTAAATAGGCAAGGGCCTATAGRTAATTTCAAATCACCCAAATCAGGCATCAATAGCAACCTCAGTTCCCAATCTAGCCAAGTTTTTCAACTCCTTCTCCCCCACCATTTAGCAGTTTGGTTGTGACAGATTGAGGAAATCACTCTAAAGAAATTAGGGGCAACCCTGCTGCAAGTTCCCTGCTAAAGATAAAAGCAGCTACTAAAGCCCTGCAGTGAAACAATGACAGAAGCTCTTCTTGGGGAAAGCTAGTGCTGTTAAAAACTTAATCATGACTTATTGTTAATTAATAAAGTATGTTCAGATGTTTTATAAATAATAAACTACTATAAATTATTTCTGTGAAAACAGGACCACAAAAACATTTATTGTYATTCATATTACATGAAACAAACTTTAAAAAAGAGGTTTAAAAAGCAGAACATTTTTATAAGAAATATATAAGCAGTAAAACATTTTACAAAGACATTTCACCTAACAGTGCACCCAAGTGTACTTACCCAAGAAATGAACCTTCAGCTTACCAGCACACTGAAACGTGTACTACAAGCAGTAATATTGGTCCTACTCCTCAAGGGAAATGTGCAGAGAATAAATTTAGTCAAAATTGCAACTGCAAATCTGCACAGTATGTGCAACAAACAGGTGACAAAAATGGCGTGAATGTCAAGTCCCATATGTTGTATCTTCATTACAACCCATGGCAACAAACAGCAGCAGTTCCTAGAGGCAACTCCGTACCTAACACTGCTACTTGGAACCTCTCTGACCATTCTCTGGAGGATCAGTACAGACTATCCACAGATTTCTTGAGACCTGCTTACATATGTTTTAATTAACGCGCTAATAAAATTGTTTGGTTCCACTTCTTGAAGACTGTGCTATTAATGCCAATAATCTTAGTGTTTTACCATACTCAAATACAAAATAAATTTACAAAAGCAAAAAGAAAACAGAAAAGATCTCCATGGAAGAGTTTTATGCAAAAAAGACCTGGTAAAGAACTTTAAACTAAACCCAAAACCAAAGAGAAAACACAAGCATACATTTATTCCAAGATATCTAAACTTCCCCTCCCTTCCCCAACAATGTGGCCTCAGTATTCAGCAACTGATCCAGCAGTTGTAGGAAAGCTATCTTGGATTATAGACTCTGGAATTTTGCCCCACCAGAATTTCTAACTACTCAAAACATTTAAGTGACTCTGCATGAAATTTTAATATCACACATTTGGGCATGAAATGGAGCCCCCTGGGGTTGCTAAAAAAAGGATGGATATTACTTACTGGTCCACTAAAACCTGCGAGCTGCGTGATCATCAGACACACTATGGAAATGATGAGCCTGGTGCGGCAGAAAACCCACACAACCCTCCGGAGAGAAGCGTCATCGGGTCCAGTTTCTTTCAGTTCTTCCTGCCACAACCTCTCCAGCCTAAAGAAAACACAAGTCCTCTTGGTAAAAATCTTTAGCCAATGTTAAGAGGTACAAACTCACAGGCATTTGCTCTGATATTTCCAAGCACTTCCTAGCTAAGAGCAACAGAAATCACTAGATTTCAAAAGAAATAAATACATAGTTCACTCTACAAGTTAAAGAGAAGAATTTCCATCTTGAAATCTTTATGTTGTGTTATTTCTTCCTAAGAAGGGAATGAAAAAATGGAATGCTTTTGGCTTTGCAGAGAGTCGTTTTTGCCATTTTAACCCATTAACTTAATGGCCAACTTTCTTCTCCAAGCTGGCAGAAGTCAAAGCCTAAGAAAAATTCTCATTAGTCATTAGCAGATCAGTCTAATTTAATGAGATATGGCTGTTCCTAATGGAGAACAAAACTAAGAAATCAGTGATGCTTTTCTAGACCAATACTGTACGTATGAACATATTTATATATAAAAGGAAATAAAAGAATAAGATGGACCAACACTTCTCTACCTTCTACAGTTGACATCTGAAGACTCATGTCTTGACAAAGACCACACATCATCCATAAACAATTCCCCTTTTTTGTATGCTTTGTGGGCCAAAGGAGTGAGCCAGGAGAAAGTCATGCAGGAGAAAAGCCCAGCGTTATCAACAGGGTGCGGGTGTCTAAAAGAAAAGATAAATCAAAAACACAAAAAAACACTGACAAATGAAGATGGAAATAGTATCGTAACCCCCCAAGAAAATCAAAATCTTCTACAATTAAAGGTACCTAAAGTTCCACCTGACCTATGGAAGTTGCACTTGCTAAATAAATGGTAATGTTTTCAGTGTTAGAAACCTAGAGCTGCGATCTTACTCTGGACTGGTTTGGAACACAGACATTGCATCAGTTCTTCAGCTGAGACTCACTTGGAAGTCGTCCGTATGGGCTTCAGCGCATTCAGGCCATGGTGGTACTTGCCCTTGGGCTGCTCTTCGTCGAGCATCCTCAGCTGGGAGTGCACGGAGGTGTCCAGGGGGAGGCCCTCTGCGCGAGCCGCCGCTTCCAAGGCATCCTGGCATTCCACCTGCGTTCACGGGAGAGACACCAGAGATCAAAACTCTACTTGAAAAACAAAACTCCTGACGGCTGCAGCTTCAGAGCCCTTAATGCTGTAAATCACTGCAACAGTCAGCAGTGTTTAAACATCTTTGAGGACAGGCAAAGACATGGAAGGCACTACAGATCTGCTTTAGATTGCTGTTTGTGGAACAAATTAATGCCAGCCAGGACCGCAGCGGCACAGTCAACGGAGAAGTGGATAGACCAGCCTAGGCTCGTCTGTCAAGTTTCGGATATTGCCGCAGGACAAAATGTTTCAGGGAAAGGAAACACAACAGAGGAAAATTATGAAACCAAGTGTCTTATGATGGCAACTCTTCATAAATGCAGAAGTCAGACTGGCCTATGCCCTAAAGTTAAGGCATCCGTTCTTGAGCAACTTAAACTCTCTTGGCATAATTCAGATATTCATGAGCATAGAAATCCAAATTACTTTCAGAATGCTATAGAATATGGCCTGAAAAAATGCTTGGATTAGATCAAAATATAAATCCATATCATGCAGAAGAGGTTTTGGTTTTTTTGTTTTTTTTTTTTGTTTTTTTTTAATCATGTTTGGTGCTTTTTCCCTAAGGAAAGGGAAAGGAAGCAAAGGCAAGGATTTTTTTTTCTGCTTCCAGTGATACTTCTCAATGGCTCAGTAATTTCATTAGTAAGTATTTAAAAGGCAAACTGCAACTCAGGAGAGCTTTTCCACAGCCCCAAAACAATGCAGATTTTAAATTTTAACAACAGAAAGAAAACAGCAACGAGAGGGAGAAGCAAAAATGCTGGATAATTCAAATAAATATTGAATAAATATTGAAATATTCATATAAATAAAGCAAAAGCCAGAAGTGACAAAGCTATGTGAAGATACGAGCTTGCKACCTACACCCGCAGAGGGCCCAGCACTGCTTCTCACAGCTCAATGGACCATTTATTGCAGTGTTGTCTGTTATATTCTAGCGCTTGCAAACTAAGCTACTTTGTGGACAAGCCCAATTCTGACTTTAAAAAACATTCCTGGCTGTCTCACGCAAATAGATCCAGTATTTACTCTTGTTAGTTGCCTTACTAGAACAAGGTTATTTTATTCCTCTGAAAAGAGCAACTGTAACTACCTTGTTGTTTCCCTTAAACACAATAACCACAGAGCACTAACTGCTGTCAGCAAGCATTCAGTTCCTAAGCTCTCATTACGTTTTTTTCCCTCCCACAGAAATGCCACCATTTATCTGAGACTCAGCTCATCCTATGTTAACATCTAAGCACACAGCATATTAAGCCACCAACTAGCTTTCACTCCTGGGAAGAACAAGAACAGGAAACTGATAATAGCTTTAATCTGTTCTTGGCTTAAATGAAGTACTTAAGTATTGCCTAAGCTCGTCATTAGCGAGCCATGGTCCTTGTCTCAGAAAACTTTAACTATCTAAAACTAAAGCCRGGATTACAAAAGAAGACAGCAGAGTAACAGGAAAACAAATGAACGTAACAACGATGATACATGAAGTGACTCAGAAATGTGCAATAACTTGAAGGCTGAATTGAACATAAATTAAATGAGAAATCCTTTAATCACTCACCGAGGGCAGTAACTTCTTACTAAATCTAAGTTAAGCAGCATACAGGACCAGCCAAAGATGTCTCTAAGGACTTGGCTTGGAGTAAAAGGTTTTGCAGCAACCACTGCTCTCCTGAGCACAGGATCCAGCCGAGCCCACGGCYGACCGTGCTGCCCGCCCGGAGCCGGGCAGACCTGCCCATTGCCAACAAGGAGCCCTGCCACCCGCTRCTCCCAGAATGACCACCTTTCAGAGCAGAGCTACCAGCTCCTACTACAATAAGGTCCTACGCCCCCAAAAAGGCCTACAACAAGGGCCATGGGCAGGGAAGAAGCTTGTGCTGCTGCCATAGAGAAATGTCCCTCCCTTCTACGAAATGGAGGGATGACAAAACCCTCCCAACATCTTTTATCACAATTGCCTTGCCTACAGGCAATAAATTGATCGTATTGACAACGCTAATACTGTCACTGAGACACACCATAAGAAAAAGACCGGGCAAGAGGAGGAAAAACAGTTCAAGGGCAAGCTGAGAGAAATGCCCATACAAGCAGACACAAGTACCAGCYGCACAACCTATCACCAAGGTCAGGGCAGAGGGCCAAGAAACTACATGAAATCCAGCAGAGCTACAAAGCTGTCCATTTTACAAGATGCCAAAGAGAAGCAAGAGAATCACCAGGAAGATTAGGTGAGCAGGCAACCAGACCTCATAGGAGGTTATAGATATGGATAAAACACCATCTTTCCACACAGTCAGCAGTGTCATATTTGAGACAGCAACCAATAACAGTAACTTACTGATGGGTATTCCGAGCACAGGACAGCCTGTAGCACCAGACAGGCCCAGAGGCCAAGCGCAACACACTTTCTTCCCGCCTCTGCCTCTTGAGGAGCAAAGGAGGGATCCCTGTGCACGCCAAGAGCCCAATCCCACCCACCAGCCAACTGCAGCCTCATCCACAAGGCAGAACATCTCCCAGGCCTARAGTAATCAGCATCAAAATGAGGAGATCTACCTTCTTCCCCACAACACATAGGAAACTAGGAGAGACACGTGAAGTCTTTTGCTAGCCCTTACAACTGATATAGAAAAGCTGCTACAGTTGATTTAATACAACAAAAAGTTACAACCCCCTTTAGATRATGAAAGCCAATTTGGACACTGCTGCAGAATGGGAACTCCCATCCCTTATTTGCACAGCAGGGCTTATCAGGCTTCACTCCTACATTCAAGGTCCTGGTATGAGGAGGCAAAGGGGGAAACTAGTACATCAGAGCAGAAGAATTCAATAGGAGGGTATGCGGCAAGGAGTGAAATTAGATATTCAGTCCTTCTTGTCAGTGCTTAAGATGTGGGGCTAAACAGTCCTTRAAGAAATAAAGCCTGTTAATTACAAGATTGGAGTTTCAAAAAAAATAGTAATTAGCTTTCATAGGCGGGGGAAGAACAGGATCCACGGTTCCATTTAGCCTCAAGATAATTAAAAACAGCAYACAAGTCCAAGAAGCACTTTGAAATTTTAATTGCATCCTTTTCACCAGATTTTTTTCTGGCTCTCCCAAGGCACATCCACACTTGAAAGGGGTTTCAATGCACCGTTTTTGCAGGTAGCAGAGGTGATCCCTAGGTCTCTGGTGTCCAGATTTCTAAGTGACCRAATCCTAGAGAATGTAGAAAGGATGTGTGTAGGTCTGCAGCTCCCAGCATGGTCAGGGCTGCACCTGCCTGCTGAAGCAAGTGTAGTTGTGCTCCACCRAGTCTCCTCACAGTGGATTCAATGCAGTGTACTTTATAAAAGCAGTAATAAGGAACTTCGCAGCATTAGATTCCCAGTCTTTCCTAACATCCTGAATKGGCTCATCCTCTGTTCAGGACTCATTTGTTTTATTATTCATCCCTTCCAGCTGCCTCACTAAAGCAAAGGCAGGAAGTAGCAGGCTAAGACGCTGAGGGGGCACAGAGGGAACCATTCAGCCTTTAGACACTTGCCTGCATTGATGGCCCTGTGCAGGCAGCATCGCCGAGTTCCCACAGTACAAAGTCACAGCAACTACCACACAGCTTTACATTCCTTGGGGTTACAGCTACAGCTTCCAGAACAGCTGCAACAAACCACATTGGGAAATTAGGGCCTCTGTGTTCTTTTGCCTTCTCAGGAGTGGGTATCAATGAAAACTCATGTCTCTATTGCCTTCCTAGCTTTTGGCACAGAAAAAGCAGCTCTTCACCAAAGCCAGAGACAAATGCAGCTGTGCTATATTCCTCTTAGGTGGAAAAGCTCATCAGCTCTTCATCTGTGTGCCAACTTGCCATAAGAGCTCTGAGATTCAGCCTAAAAACAGTCATTCGCTCCAAGTTACATGTAGCCTCATTAGAGGAGAGCTTTGCAGTTGCTCATTTCCAAGCTAGAATTATGGCATCCGAGTCACTTTTGAAGCTAACCGGGGCTTATACATCCTCACATTAGAGCAGAAGTCTCCAGTGTCGCTTGGCACTGATACCTTTGCTGAGCTTGTAGAGCCTTGATATTATTGTGACAGACCCAAATGTTCTAGCAAGGCSAGCTGTAGACTGAGCACTTCAGGGCACAGAGCCTTGCTGAGGACAAGCACGGTACCAGCTTCACCCAGGAACACTGCTCATTTGGCCTTGCCCTCAAGCTCTGGCAAGAATAGCTCACCTTGATGCTAATTTTCAGCTCTTCCCTGGCAAAGCCACTTACCCACACAATCCAAGAAACACAGGGCTTTGCTCAGCATCTTTTAGGATTTTTTTTTCCCCCAGTAGCTGCTGTGTATGTATCTGATCAGCAGAGCTGTGCACCAAATCAGCATCTGATACACATGGATCATGTCCTCTCTTGTGCACTAACACTAGTATATGATCAGGTAATTAAAGGATATGGCATTTATTCTGCAGAGGTGGGGTTGTATACTTTATCCAGGACATGAGCTACAGTTTGTATACACTAGCAGTGGAGTAACAGCAGACCCCTTTGGAATGAGAAAAATAGGCTCTGACCAGAAAGCTGGAAGACTGAACTCTTCACTAAGCAGACCATAGACTGGCAGAGCACAGGCTGAGGATTTGGCTCCTGGCTTGCTCGTGTGTTATCCCAGCCTACATGCCAATGACTGTAGGATGCTGGAGGCATTCACTCAGGCCATACTGAGCTTGGTCATAGCAGAAGACATACATGTTAATTTAATACCTCAGAAATATCTAAAGATTCTTTAAAATGCAGATTCTGTGGAATGGAACACAGGCAGGGATCTTTCAGTCAGTTAACCCTCCGACTTTGAGGGGAGCTTTTAGAACTTGGCAGGCAGATGGATATGTCCTGTTCTCAGCTGAGAAGCAGAGGTAAACACAAGCAGCAGGGTAGAGATAACATCACTGCTTCAAAAATCATTA